CCATCTTTTTTGCCTGCAACTAAAGCAATTCAGAGTTTACAAATGAACATAAGCACAATTTTTTTAGCCGAATTTTAATTGAAACTAAGGTCTATTTAAAAGCCAGATATAAAATAACAAAACTTCATCTTCTGGATGATATCTAGCCCAGTGTAAAGAGATAATGGTATAAATTGCCAATAAGAGAAAATTATACCCAAGAACCAGATTCTTTTTCAAAACTTTCATGCAAGATGTTCAACATCTGGATCTTATGATCACATCAAGATTATCATAATTTGTATGCATATATTGTAAATGCATGTTTAACAACCACAACATAGAAAAAAGCATCTACAAATGTATGAAATGACCACCCATTTTCAACTTTAACCAAGTCAAACCACCATACCTAAAAAATTTTCGAACCAAAAAATTACTCTTCTTCTTCGAAGTCCAAAAGAAAGTCCGTCAAGTTCTCAGAATCGTCTACAGCTTCATCCACAGACATATTCTTCTTTTTTGGTTTGCCCTGCGGCTAAGAAGGAAGTGCGTGTCACGTACAATTCTCAGAAATACAGCACTAAGAACATGTTTGGCTTAGCCTTAAAAAATTAAGTTACTCGTAAGAAAATTTTTATCTTCAAACATGCTCTAACTCAGCCAATTGACACTCATACACAAATCAATTTTAAATTTTAGAAAAATCACCTTTGACTTCTGCAATTCAGGATTACTTTTTAAAACACTCCAATTGCGTGTAATTTTCTCTTCATTATCACCTTCAACCTCACTGTCCTCTCCTTCATCCTGTGGTAAGAACGCATGAAAAAACAAAATCACTTTGACAACTAACATAAACAGCTCATGGTCTCAAGGTACAATCAATCATACTGCAGCATGAAGAGATTTTAAGTTCAAATACATGAAACAAATTTAGAGAATTCACAGGGGAGAGGGCAATAATCTCACATCATTTTCACCAATGTCAACCGCTCTTGCCATAGCTTCATCCATATCTGTTAACTGTCGCAAAAGAGAGGAAGCTAAAAGACACAGAATAAAGTGGAAACAGAAACGAAACTGAACATATAGAGGACTATATTGCCTACTGAAAAATTTAAATAAGTAAATTACAGATTCTTATTTGCTGCATAAATTACTCGAATGATAGAAAAATGTGTAATCGCTGTGTTCTCACCTCAAGTTCTTCTGTCTTCTCCTTAGCCAGGATTTTCTCGAGCTCTTCTCTAGATATTATTTTCCCATGCTGATGAGAGTTATTGTACACATTTATCAAATGAATAATTTCTAATTGAGAAATCGTAATAGAAACTCAAAATGCATATTTAAGAAATCCGTTAAGTGTGATGGTCACTTAAGAGATCATACAACAACTGAAACCACATATCTCTATGCAGTTGAAATGAGCTTTTAAGTTCTCAAAAAAATTTCTTTCCATAATGCTTTTAGAAATGAAAGAAGCCAAGTTTTCAAGTCAAAATATTCTTTTGTAAAGGTGGTTGAGCAAAAATGAAACTAGATTGTGAAAAGGCGAATTTGGGTTTGAAGAGAGTCAATAGTGTTATATAGCCAGAATGGGAAGAGATGAACTGCTCATTTAAAGTAAAAGATCTTTGAGTTTCAGCAATTTGCATCAAACCTCTTTAAGATAAGGGAGCATATTCGGAGTTGGTTCGTGAAAATCTGGACCCCTGTAATCAATCACCTCATTTGGATCCTGAATATAGTTCACAGTTGGGTAAACTGGATCTCCACCCCATACTGCAAAGGCAAACAGACAAATTAAGTAATATAGATGAAACAGAGGAAAACAAGGAGACTTCACATTTATGACTGCTAGTGAAAACATATACGTGTCAATAAATGTTACAACTTCAATAATTAGAGTTTTCGAATGAAGAAGAGAAAGGGGAAGGAGATAAAGAGAAGCATATACTTTGTTTTATTTGATCTTCGCGCATTCTCATTGCCAAAGGATCCCGATGAATGCGAATATCAGTACCCATCATGATGCGATATTCTCGATCTGTCTGATGCATGAACATCTCAATCAGTTGGGTGTTCTCATCTTCACCTGTCTCTTCAAAATGCTTTTGAACAGCTTCGTGTAACGTGTCTCTTTTCCAAGCTTTAACCCATTCTGAATAGTACGCCACAGGACCTATCTTTTCCAGTTTTTCTTGTTCAGCTTGCAGCCTGAAGAATCATTTCATAGATCTCAATGTCAAATCTTAAGACTAACCAACTTAATTTTGGTGGATCAGATCACAAAGCAAGTTGGGTAAAGGAACAAAAACCAGGAGCAAATAATTTGATCTTTTCAATATTTGGACTAAGTAAAAATAATAAACTATCTTAGAAGGCTGGATTTCTCCATCAAGATAAAGGGCTTTTATACAACAATAGAAGGTTACTTTGAATTAAAAGAAGAAATGCATATCATAGGATTTTCTTGGACTACTGATGCTTCAACTTCCAGCCACGAGGTATGCAGACATAAACAATACTTGCAGTGTAATCTGGATGAATTTGCTGAAATCCAAATAACCAATGAGGAATTAAAGAAATAAGTGCACCAATTGAATCTGAATAAAATTTATACCTCTCTTCTTTATAAATATGCCGTCTTGCTCTGTAAAGAGAACACTCGGTCAGTGTTGGGTGGTCACCGTAAAGGGTTACTTGCCCAGTTTCTGCCATAGCTTTGAGAAACACCTGACACCAAAATAATACTTATGTTACTGGCTAAGATCAATCACAAAAATTTAAACCAAAACAATATTGGACATCAGAGGAATGTAAAGCACGCTTGTGTATTAGACTCTTAAAGGATTCCCCAAAAATCAGCCTGCAAACCTATAAGACAAATAGTTGGTACTCGGAGTAACAAAAGTTGCTTTCGTGAAAAGAAATCGTTAGTTAGAAAACTAACCGCAGAAAATGTGTTGTTCCATCTAAGCGACTCACATGCATTGAGTACAAAATAGTAATGCATAATCAAAAGGAAAAATTGTCGCATCATTTTCATATCTATAACATCTTCTACTTCCCCCTTATAACTTAATTATTTGTAGAATTCACAATTCAAGAAGTTTCCTAAATTTTGTCTGCCATTACTTGACAATTCACCCGATATGTCCCATTAAGGTTAAAAAGATCCAACGAAAACCTCAAACTATAGCTGTTTATGCAACTAAATCATTACGCAAGCATGCGTACAACTTGAATGCATTTATACTCTGGTACAACAACTTGATTTCATTTATACTCTGATAAAGAATATAACATTATCAAGTAAAATTACCATTTCTACCTATCAATGCAAATGTGAAATCTCATTTTACAAAAGGATATGGTTAGCTCTCAGAAACACCGCACAGGACGCCAGGGTGCTATACCAGTGCAAGCACAGTATTTTATTCTATTATAGATATCAACCTAACTTAATTGATAACTGTGTTGCTCTATTATTCTCTTTCTTCATTTAGTTATTCATTTTTATTTTTTGGACAGAAGAGAAGAAGGAAGGACAGACTGTTTCAACATCTGGGCGTCTCCGCTGCCATCTAGACCATTGTTCTTTGTCTGGTGTTCTCCAGTTCCACCACAGCTCTTCACTTGTGAGTGGTTCCTCTATTGGCTTCTTAGCTTTTGGATCAACAAAAGAATGAGGACGTCCAAGCTTCTTGTCCAGTTCATAGCCAGTTAATTCTTCTTCCTCAGGTCCTGTCTTATAAACAACATACTCTGATAAGACATCTTTAGGGTCTTCTGATGCATACTCTGGAGTCTCAGGTTCCACCGAATCATTTACAACTACATTTGTTTCTGAAGACTCAGTAGCAGCAGGCGAAGACTTGTACTTTTTCCGCCTACTTCCGGGATTTTTACCAAAAGATGAAACTCCAGTTGACACATCTGTTGGTTCAGGAGCCCTTGCAGCCCTCACACGATCAGCAGTGCCTTCCGGCCAGTAATCTTGCCCTGGAATACTTGCACGAGCACCAGATGCCGGCTCGACCTGTCCAGATGTAGAGTCCATATAACTGTGATATGGCGCTCGCTCAACCGACACACGCTTGAAAGAGCCACTCTTATCACTATTCTCACACTTTATACAAGGAAGTAAAGGAGATCTTTTAAGTGGACTCGTGATGCCAACTTTAAACTTCCATAATGATGCAGGAAATGAACCTGCAAATGATATCTGGATGTCCCAAGATTAAGAAATAGAGCAATATACTCAAATAAGAAAGAGAGGTGGCAATAAACAACATCAAAGCTTGGCATTTTGATTTATCCTTTAAAGTTATATCACCTGCAGAACTTTGATTCATACACTTAAAAATGAGTGATTGAACCGCGCAAGACACATGCCATGCAAAATGTATAGCAGAACACACTCACATATGCTGTTTCAAAATTGCAGTTTGCTAATTCTACCAGGACCATGGCTCAAATTTTAGAGATGATAAAAAATATTTAGGAGCCTATACAATTTGCAACATTTTCAGATGAAAAATTGCAGCGAGCAGAATTCAACATTATAATAGGCAGACCCTAACAACATAAAAAGAAAGGAAAGTAAAAAACTTGAAGGTGAGGCTAGAATATAATATTTTAACCATCACAGACCTCGTTTTCTAGGGAAAACTTAGAAAAATGGGAAAGCGTACCATAGAAGAAAATTTAGCCGAGCAGTTTGAAAACAATGAAGGCCACGACTTGCAAAGATAAATTTTGAAAATAAATAAAAAATAAAAAAAATTCTGAACATTAAAAAATGAATTTGCAGTTCTAAATCAGAGTAGGATTAAGGAAACCTGCATGAATAACAAAAATCAGCAAATTCAAACACCCTTTAGTCTTAAACGAGTCCAGTAACGAAGCTTCCCTATTCGTATATATATACTAGTTTACCAAGAGAATAATTACACATATCTAGAATCCTACAAATCATTACACTGCTATAAATACGCATAAGCATAAAATAAACATAACCCAAACACACAACTAAAATAGAAATTTGAGAAAAAGCAATACAGGATTCCCATTCCTCAACACATTTATACACAGTAGAATAAGTATAAAAACTAAAACGAACCTTCAAATTGTTGAAATATAACCTCTTAGCAACAACGCCATCCACAGAATCCATACTTCTCAGTACTCCATCTGCAACACAGACGAATAAACATGGTAAGGAAGTGGATACGATTGTCATGGTACTAAGGCGAGAAGTGTAAAGCAGAAATTGAGACCTTGATACAACCAAGAAGGTGAAAGAGAAACCATTTTTGCCGATGAAGATGATATTGCATTAATAGCCAATTAATTCCAGTTTCTGAAGAAGTGATCGAGTTACACTCGTGAAGAGGAGGGGAGGTCGGAGTTTTTCCAGAGTTGCTGGCTCTTAAGCAGATAAAGTTTAGTCTTGGATCGGGTCGGTTAAGTATTGGGTCGAGTCATATTTTGTTGGGCTCCATGAGTGCCGCGTTATTATGGGATACTTTTAAAATTAACCTGATCAAATCATCTAAATTTCACATTAACTTCTCAATAAAGGAATATTATGAAAATGACCTATCCAATGTTAAAAGACAAAAATGCCCTTAAATACATTATATAATTACAAAAGTTAGTTTTTTTAAAAGACAGGAATACCCTTTCACTTAACAAATAAAAATCAAACACTTCCTACATTTCTTATCTGTTTATTCCAACACAGATAGATAAAACACTCTCATCCTTCATTTGCTTCAACTGCAGAAAATTAAAAGTTTATTGAAATCGGAAGTCGAAAAATTTGTGGACATCAATCTCGTCAGTTCGGTAAGTTTATATACGCAAATTTAATCTTATTTTCATTAAATTATTGTATATTTAAATCGATAATTGTATTTCGACATTTAATAATTAGTAGAAAAAAAAATTTAATAGATTTGTAATTTTTTAAGTATTTGATTGGAAAAAATTCATCTGCATATTTATGCCGACGCCCGTTAATCGACTGTTTGACCAGCTGTTTAAGCCGAAAAAAAAAGTCTACCAAACAGTCAGCTATTTGGCCGACTGTTTGACTGGCTGTTTAACAGTCGGATGTTTGTCAACTGTTTTCTTTTTTCCTCCATTTTTGGGTTATTTTTATTACTGTTGATATTTTTCTTGTAATTAAAAATTTTGTTTCGACATGCAGATATGGTTGTAGTCCCAGTTTGTTACTTTGGTAATTTCGAATTGGACGAAAGAGATCAATGGGTATGGAAATGGACAAGTGATAAACGTGGTGGTATCACAATTTTCATATCATCAGGTACATCGTATGCAGAACTTTATAATGATTTACAGAACAAGTTGAATATTGATCCTTCTCAGTACAACATGGAATTGAAATCTAAATTCAGCGAGCATGCATCAGTTTCGATTCCACCTATAATGATTTCTTCTATTGATGAAGTAAATTATCTGATTGAATTGAACAATAAGCACACAACTCCTCTTTGGGTCACTTTAGTAAGAAAGGATGTCGTCGAAAATGAACAAGAAGACTCGGGAGGTGGGGATCACAATGCTAATGATTTTTTGGATACGGTGGAGATAGCTCGTGAAGATGATGTGGTTATTCCAAAGATAGTTACACATAGAATCCCCTCCGCTGCTCGTGACAACGAGAATGAAAATGCAAATACTTTTACAAACGAGGATTTGATTGCTTTATCCCGGCAGTGAATTGAGTGGGGTGGCACCTCGGGAGCTAGATCGAGTAGACCGTCCTCTAACTCCTCACGTGTGGTTCCTGATAATGAGGATTTGTATATCGAGCAACTGTTTGAAACAAAAAAAGATTTGTAAGAAGCCGTGCACCTAATTGCAATGAAATATAACTTCGAGTTTAGAGTGAAAAAATCGAATAGGTCGTTGTTGACGCTATCGTGCGTAGATGATAGTTGCAATTGGCGTTTGCGAGCAACAAAAATGGATACGAATGAGTGCTTCGTAATTCGCAAATATACACAAGAACATACTTATGAAGTGGGAGTTTGTCGCAATGATCACAGGTAAGCCCGAACTTGGTTTATTGGTCGACAGATAATGCACAAGTATCAGGATCCACGGACAATCTACAGACCATCGGACATCATTAACGATATTCGTCGAGAGTACGGAGTAGTCATAAGCTACCAGAAGGCCAAAGAATGTACATTGGAGGATTTAATGGGCTCGGCAGAGGAAAACAATGCTAAATTGGTCAGGTATTGCCATAACATGGAGAAAACTAATCCTAACTCGGCATTTTTTATTGAGATGGAAGCCGATAACTGCTTCAAATTCTTCTTTATGACTCTTGGACAATACGTTCGGAGATTTCGAAATGCTATGCGACCCCTAATTCTAGTCGACGGTACAACTCTGAAATCCAAATACCAAGGTAAGTTGATTATTGCTACATGTCAAGGTGCCAACATTCAAATTTACCCTCTTGCATTCGACATAGTTGATAACGAGAATGATCTGTCGATGACCTTGCATTTGTCACCGTCGGGGACAGTCTATAATAAATGGTATTGCTGATTTTTTTCTCGATGCACATCATGGGTATTTTACGTACAAGGCAACTTGAAGACCAGGTATCGGGGCAAAAACATCGTTTCATTGTTTAGGAGAGCAGCCGAAGCTTACAGTATTGAAGAGTGTAATAGGTGCATGGTTGAAATAGGAAGCAAATCATTCCCGGCATGGGACTATCTAAAAAAAATGGGGATTGAACATTGGGCGCGCTCATATTTTCCAGGACATCGATACAACATGATGACGTCAAACAACGCGGAGTCTCTCAATGCATTATTTAAGAGGGATCGAGTTACCCATTCTCGCACTGATTGAGAATATCCGTACGAAGCTGTAGCAGTAGTTTCACGATCGACGTCTGGAATCACATAATTGCACAAGTGTGCTAGCCCCAACACAAGAGGTAAAGCTCTTCAAGGCTGCAGATGCTGCGAGAAAGTTAAATGTCAAACCACTAAACGAGTCGTGCTTCTCTGTGGAATGTGCACGTCATACGGCATATATGGTAGATTTAAGTGATGAAACATGCACTTGTAAACAATTTCAATTAGAGAGTTTTCCATGTGAGCATGCAGTTGCGGTGTCTATGTATCTAGGATTTACAGCGAGAAAATTGAGCTATCATTATTACACTGCTGAAAATTGGAGAACTGTGTATGTTGAAACCATATTTTTGCTTCCAAACGAAGCCGAGTGGGAAGTTCCTGATCATATTCGCCTGTTCAATAAATTGTCGCCACCTCTCATTGAACCACGTGGTCCTGGATGCCCAAATACTTCTAGAATACCATCTATTGGAGATTTTTCTCAATCGCGTAAGTGTAGAAGGTGCAAATCAGTAGAACATACTCGTCAATTTTGTAGAAGTCAAGTTCCCCTAAATGACAGTTAGAGCAATATGTATTTCCATTGAAATGAAAAGTATTTACATTGAAATGAATAGTATTTACATGAATAATTACAAACAATTGCGAAAAATAGTTACAAATAATCACAAAAAATAATTACAAATATTAATTACAAAAAATATTTACAAATAATTTATGGATCACAATTAAATTCGTATAATTCACACGCTAACTTATTTCGCCAATTCTGTATCCATGACTGGTTGATTCCATCAACCTTATGTATTACACTTAAAAATTCTATGTATTTGATTGCGACAATCTCATAGTCGCCCCCGCAAATAAACAAATATGTGTTAGTTTGGTTCCAATTACGTTCGAACTGATTACTTAATTAAAAAAAAAAGATTACAAAGGCTTACGATATAGACTGTCTCGTCGTCGTCGTGTCCCGCACGATGGCTAGTTTGTCATCCACAGTCAAGCCCACACGTCTAACCATCATAGCAACGATCACAGTCACTGGCTCTAAGATCTGCTCGAGCTGTCCCTGTGTCAGACATGAATGATCAGGGTCGTACACATATATCGTTGAATCAGGGAACACAATCTCTAATGCAATGCAGTGCTGATTCACGATAACTAGAATGTACAAATGCGTACAACCCTTCCATGGCTTTCCCCCAACACTTGGTGACAGCCCGATGACCCACTCGAGCATATACGCGGGAAGCATGTATTCGTTACTTAGTAGCTGGAGGGACTGATACTCAATAGTAACGGCACAGAAGAACTCGGTGTTCAATATTATGCGGTCAGGCTCGTGGAATGATTGTGGATATCTCTCAACTCGATCGCGCAACAAGTCCATGATTATGTCGATGTGTTACATCAAGGAAAACAAAGACATAAATACTTATTTCATTTACCAAATTAAACATAATGTATACAAAAAGTAACAATAACATTTCACTTGCATCGTCGGCGAGCCAAGCCCTCTGAGTGGTGATATTATGGAATCACTTGTATGCGCCCAATATCGTCCTTCCAGCTATCATGTGCGTGACTCTGAAAATAAAATAGAAAAACGTTAAACGAAGCATATATGAGTTATAGTAGTCTACTAAATCATACAATACTTACTCGGGCAACATTCTTCGTCACTCAGCCTCGAATGCTTTCCACTTGGCATGGTCGACCTCCCGGAACAGATTAGGGTAGGTCCCATCGATGAACCTCCTCCTCTTCGCCTCAGCCGTGAAAGGAGAGACGACGTACTGTGACGGCACTCTCGACCTCTTGCCGACCACCGTATCTGGTATGTCAACAGCACGCTTTGTTGCCTTATACACTGTCACCTCCTCCATCCCCTCATCTGCCATGGTCTCCGACGGGGCCACTCTCTCATCTGCCATCGTCTCCCTCCCCGACGGGCCCCCCTCCTCTGTCACTGATCTCGTCCCATCGCACTCCACGGATATAATAAATGATTTTCATGCATCATCATCATGTATGTATGACTGCCAGAAACCCCCATCTCTATCACCCCCATCCCTATCACCCTCTCGATCACCCCCTCGATCACAGTCTCTGTCAACCCATCGCCTACCGGCTATATCACCTCGAAGTGCTGCAGTCTCATTCGACAAACCTTCGACCCTTCCTACCAACTGTCATCCCAGATCATCAACCTACTCGATCGTCTCTCAACGCAGCCCGTCGACTTGCCCCGCTATAAATCTGCTCAGACGGACATACAAATCGTCAAAATAGTGCTCCTGACTATGTGCGGAGATCCACATGAAAGGTTTCTGGACGGGGGAGGCAAAGGAGATGCCCTCGACGGTGGAGGAGATGCCGTCGGTGGCATATTCAGCGAAGGTGGTGATGCGCTCGACGGAGGTGATCGTCGATCAACTGGATCACGCTCCTACACAAACAACAACATTACAAATTATTAACTTAATCCGTAAATGCTAACTCATACAAAACGGTAATCAATAGA